GCACTTTTGAAGATTCATATTAACACTATTAAAAGATCATTTCAGAGCACTTGATTTATTCTCGCTTTAATTTTATTAACGAACATATAGGAGATTTGATAAGGAATGCTTAACAAAATGTTCTACATTTCTTCAACTGTCAACTCAATCACTCTCTGCCAAATAAAGTAAAGGGAATCTTGCGATATGTAACCGCTCCTTCCTTCCTTTCTTCCTAATCCCCTCTTCTGCCAGGTTATCTAACACACCCTTTTGTGTTACTGATGTAGTATTTGTAACACTGGTCCTAGGAGTTTTACTAAGCGTAGCTTATAGAAATATTTCTCCTATGTACAAGTTTTTTATAGCAAGTTCTGCCAAAGATGCAGATGTGTCATATCTGAGCAAACTTAATTAAACGTCAAAACTTTATTTTCATAAATTTAGTAATTTCAATCATAGAGGCAGAGGTACAGCCATGTGTGATCAGTACATTCTCCTAATTTAATGTGGCGGCCACATCCGAATTTACTTTTAGGATTAAGACCTTTGAGGTTAGGCATCGCTCCATTTTGACTAAATCAATATGGATTTGATGAGATGAATACTGTAATAAAAGGGAAAGGCTAGCGCAAGGTGAACTCACCATGCAGTAACCCAAGCATTGCGCTCTAGTGTATGAAGGACTAGTCTTTGTTCTGTGGAGTTTGCTAGCTTCGAATATAACTTTTCTCTCCAATCACCATCTGCGAGCATTGTGAAGGATATTCCTTCCCAGTCGCAGTCATAACCCTGAAGCGAATGTTAGTGAAAAGGATAGCTTATTCCTAAATTTTGTGAGAATGTAATGTCTTTACAGTCTGTGAAAGAAAAGCATTTCTGCTGTAGTGAGATTCGCGAAATTACATAACTGTAGCTATAGAAAAGACAAGCAGCGTTTGTACGAAAGTTAGAAGGCTAGTATTATATCTTTTGATGAGATGATTGGGCTTTTTATTTTTATCATTTACTTATCAACAGCATACCGCTCTTATTCCACTTGCATTATTTTGACGAACTAGATTTATCAGAGCAAGTCGTTCATTTTCTGAGAGAAGCTGACCACGACGAACAATACGTTGCCACCAGCTACCTTTACACCTTCCGTGCACATCTTCGTCAGCAGCCCAGACGGACAAAAGCTGAAATGGATCATGAAAGATATCGATAGCGATGAGTAGAAGAGTGCCTTACAATGAGGAGAACAAGACACCATTTCAGCATGTTTGGACAAAAAATGAAATTGTGTCGAACTTTTATGTGGGTGACCGCGCATGCAAAAAGTGTTATTTGGTCATTTGATTACGAGCAAATATACATTTTCCGTGATCGTGTCAATCCTCTTATCTTGTTGAGCACAACGCAAGCAAAATCTTATTTGATAACCATATTATGGTCAGTTTTCCGTGTTAAGCTACAGGTCATACAAGAATTGGGAAAGCATTGGTCAATCGCATAGGCAGAAGCTGTGGTTTGCTTTCAAAGCTCAAGCATAAACACTGCTAAGTGAAATTTAGTGGCTAGCTTTTGTTAAAAGACTTTGCCTGATGATGTTACACCTAGTCAAAACTGTATTTTTTCAATGGCGATCATGCTGGAGTGCAGACGATTTGCTACAATCTGCTACTAATCGCTTAAACAGTTGTCTGACTTGTGTGTTCTTTTTTCCCGATTGTTTTCCCCACGCCCTTGTTCATTTGATGGTCGACTATCATCACCTAACCCACAGTACAAAACAGCATCCAATTCTGCAAGAAAATACACGAGTTTATATGGAGAAATAATAAATAATAATCTCAAATATGGCGTTGTTATAACTTCTTTCAAAATCTGTATGCTCAAAGGAAACAAAAGAAAGCTCTGCTCGCTGAAGAAAATCTACTGATGCGTTACAGTTCTGCGTTACCGTGGGTGTACGGTAAAAGATTGAAGGTCAACATCAAAAATTTGTCTGAAACTTCGGGA